TCGAACGCCTCATCGTCATCTTGTGAATGAAGAAGCTTGTAAGCGACCATTCTACCAAGTGTCTTCGTTTTCGCTTTGAAAACTACACCATACGCTCCGTAACCAATGCACAGCGGCTCAATAAAGTCATCGAAAGAGTAAAACCGGATGCTCCCGTCTTCAATACTTTTCCTTAACCATTCTTTATCAAAGACAATTGAGGCCATGTTTGTAAAAGAGTTCTTTGGTTTTTAGAGTAGATACGGTATGTGAGTCGATAAGACCAAGTGGATTAATTTGCTTTCTGAAAAGATGTGAAAGTTTGATGCTCTTCTAATTGGCTAAGTCGAGGAAATTGTTTTATAAGTACTCAATGTGTCACGTGAAATAACTGTCGGTGAAATGTACTGTCGGTGAAATTAAAATGATTGTCGGTTTTCGGTCTCCCGCTATTACTGGGGGTACAATGTCTATTGTATTTACATACGTGTTATGTGAATAAAAGTTCCTCGAGATCAATGTTAGATATTGATAGTGTTACAACGTAGGGAAGCCTGATTATAATAGTAAGAACATATAAACTTCAAACCGAACTGGCTTTGAATGAAGAAAGCTACGGCTCAAAACTTTGGCAGCAGACAGTTTACGTGTTATACCTGTTTCGTCAACTAATGGATATTACGAGGAAAAAAATTTTTTTTTAAAAAAAAATCTCGGTTTTAAATAATAAGCAAACGAAAAACGCTCCATTATTTTGTTGATAAATGAATCGGGGCATACCTGTTCTCTATCAGGAGGAGGTTAACGTTAATATAAAAATTAAAATAGTCACTACTTATTCAAGCCTTACCGCTTGACGCCGAGAAGGTAGAAACGCAGTAAAAAAACTTCATATGTAAAATGTTATAAAGGGCTTATCCTATGTTTGTAATACTATGGATATCGTACCCCATATTATTTAATTGTTCAGAGAAAGAGCGGCAATCCCGTCTCCCTCACTCAACGGATTTCCCAACTAACCTCCTGTCCGAGCTTTGTGCGATACAAATTTTGCACTATTTCCACATTAAAATAACGGGTAGAATAGTAATTAGGGAAACACAACATACAGTAATAACTGTTTGATCAACACGCCACGACGTTGTTCTTACCGAGGGTAAGTAAAACCTTAATTAATTACGTGAAAGCTTATGCCAACTTATTTATTCAACACACAAGTAACGTAAGCCCATATTTGTTTATCATATGCAAGAAGAACGACCAAGGCAATAAAAGATTGTCCGAATCCTAACCCTCCGATGAACACTGTTCGTTGCCAGTAAAGATTTGAAGGCACAGTAAAGCTTCGCCCTTAGGACCATTTGCATTTAATAATTTACACCTAAAATGCGCTTATTCATTTACAATTATATTGAGCTAAGGTAAAGTCCTACTATGGTGCGAGTTGTCTATAAATTACCTGACTTTCAACACGGCTTTTATATTAAAAAGTATAGAGAAAAACTGATCTGTAAGAATAATATAGAACAGACGAAACTGCTGTTTGAGTTCCGAGTTTTAGGCATTTGAAAAGTAACAGATTATTGGTAAATTTCAGCTTTCATTTTGCTAATCTCGAAAACCTAAAATAGAGTTATTTTTGTAGTTAATCGATTCGGCTAATTTTTACTATTATTATTATATAAGGTAATATGCTTAGATACTAACGTGTGGGAATTATGTAATATATTTTTGGGGGTTACGCCTCTCGTGACTGTATTACTTAAGCTGCAATATTTTTGTGTATATCAAATTAATGGAAGAACTTATTGAAGGTTATTGTTTTGATAAATACTGTTATACAATAAAAAAGAGATTTTTAAACTATTATACATTCAAATTATTCTAGCGCTCTAATTTTGTAGACGCAGTTGGTTGACGAGATGGTTTGGTTTGTTGTGTTTGATTGACTATGCTCCTTTGGCAGAGTCAAGGTCAGTAGGAGTCAATGAAGGAATCTTTTTCCTCGTTCTTTGTTATCATTATCGATGGTCTTGGACTTCTTAGACCGCTTGCTTGTATTGGTAAATTTGTTCAATAAGCTGTATAACAGGCTCTCTTTTCAGATGCCGGGGAATGCGCAAGCTGGGGAGGATGTGGTGGATGTGAATTGTACTCGATATGCGTTCAAAGTTACTTAACTCTATACATAATTTGTCATCGAGTACATCCAATTCCTCTACACTAGAGACCATGGAGCCTAGCCTGGCTTTTTCGGTTCTTCATGTAGATTTTTCTTTGCTATGCTGTGGCGAATGATTACAGTATATCAAAGATAGCCAATTTTGTAACAGAGCCACTTCCCGAACCGTATTGAGTGGCTTTTTACGGCATGTTATAAAACGTTTGCGCAGTTGACTTTATGGCTCGTGAGCAAGTACGAGCGTATGGCATTAGTGCCGGCGTTTTTGCGGAGATATGACATTTGAACACGTTTACCTACGATGGCATATGTGATTTGATATACTGTACAAAGAATTTTGTTCAAGTGTTGCCCAATCTGAACTTTGAATAACAGTTACGTCATTGAGATTAGTCACTGTCCCAGCAATTTCTAGTATAGTAATATGTCATTCGAAGCAATGCAGTCTTGCAAGCCAATCTGAATTTTCTTTCGAAACGTCAACTTCGATGTAAACGCGAACTGGATCCTTGGCGACGTTAAGGAATACGCCATACGCTTTAAGTAACGTTGTTGCATTCTCTATCTTAACTTCAAGTACGTGAACAGTGGTTGAGTCAATATGACGAGCATTAGTCTCTGCAAAAGCATGTCTCTAGAATTGCTAGTTACGAATAAAAAACAAACGCAACTCACATAATAATGACATATTAAAAATGAACTCTGGTCTGCCTTTTTAACAAATGTTTGTTACATTGTACATTGTACACGGATGTAACAATATTATTGTTTTATTTGACCAGTCCTATATATAAACACAAGGATGAGAATGCTCTTTCTTTCCGAGAATTTGTACTTGAAAACCATTGTTTACTCAGGCTATATCATTAGTTCCAGAAATTATAATCTAGCACTTGACAACCTGGAACGTAAACTCCTTGCTCGCAAATTACCGACATGAAGTCAAGCCAGATTGATTCTATTCATTACGCTATTCGTAAACATAAACCGCATTGGAAACGCTGATAATACTGCTATGCCTTGGAAGCAGCGAAGAATATACACAAACACTTGCGAGTGAGTTTGCCAGAATATACTCACTTCTGACACACGAGTAAAATAATGACGTCAGTCAATGCAACATGGCGCAATACACTAATATAGAGATTTACTAAATATGACGATAAATATTACATGGTTGATGATAGACACTTTTACTATTATTATTATTCTCGATATGGGTTCTGCACTGCATGTGGAATACTCCAATGTAGTCCTGTGTGGTGCATTTGTGGACATAAACAATTATCCGATGGATGGACTAGCAACAATAAACAGCTCGATGAGTTTATTAAGAATTTCAATTACAAACAAACTCAGCAAACCATGCCTATTTGGAATGGATTCCATTTGATAGGGGACAAGTTAAATTGATTCCACTCGAGGTAACAGATGAGACGAATGACTTATATTATGACAAGGTAAGATATTCGGTTATGCATCATGTTTAGTGAATTGTGTGCATAATTAGTGACTTAATATGACGACTGATCTATGAAAATGGTGCATTCGCAAAAACAGGTGATCGTCAGAAAATCGTCTTCAAAGAAATTGGGCCATTTTTCTAATCCCCCAAATATAAACGACCAATAATCAACGAGTAGACTTTATCTAATTTCTGGCGGTCTGGGACAAATTATATCGTTATAAAAATTATCGGCAAACCTTTCTTACTTCATTATACAGATATGTCTGCCTTATGACTCGTAAGTACGGACAGGAAAAAGAACCGTAGCGTCGCTTATTACTATTGATTGGCAAGGATTTGGGGTACAGATTTGACTTTCTTGCAAATCATTCCTTCGTGCTACCGAACTTGTAACTGCTGTTGTGAAAAACTTTACTATTACGTTTGAGGTCAGGAAAAAGGCACAGGGTAGGTAGCATCTCCGAGTATATATCCCACACAAAAACCAAATTTGAACCCCAAATCACCAACTACCCATTTTCATAGATATTGAGGATAAAGATAACTTTATTTACCCTCTAATATCGTTCATGACATCCGGGGTGGCTATTTCTTTTGTATAGGCCTATCTCTTGGACTGTGCTATAACATCTGATCTGCACACTCTTTCATTATTGCCAGTGAACAGAGAATAGGTCTAAAGTGTCTTCAGTTTTAACTTCTGCTTTAAGACTCTTGCCGAGACATGCAAGTCGTTGTCCTACTTAGAGGTAGGTAAGCGAATTACTTCTTCTATGTCAGTATATTATAACGAACAGAAAATTCTATGCTTATATATAGCCAGTTTTTCATTGATCCTCTTTTAAAAAGCTTTAATTGATAACCGTAGCTTGGGCAGTAAATCCTACATTAAAGACAAGTCCCGCAACTATTAATACACACAGAGCTCTGAGCACTATTAGATAGATTAATATACCATTATTATAAGCCAAACGCATAGTTGCGCAAACGTTTATTATAATTTGACCATGATAATGATTATTCGGCTTGGAGTGAGGAATGCCCTTGGTGCATGAACTCTGTTTACATTGTGACATATTTCATGTTAATTTGAGACAGATGGACTGTCTCTCATCCGCCTCTTCGTGTGAATGTCTAAAAACCGATTAATAAATTGATTGATGTTTGCAAATATTTAACATATTTTATTAAGGCAGTTTCATCTTTAAAATGTGAGCCTTACATCTATCGCATCTGAAACTGAACTACGTACCACTTAGATCTCCAAGGTGATCAACGAAGACAATCATCGTTTTAAACTTTGAAGGTAAATCAGCAGCTTAGTAAGATACAGTCCTTGTTTCTTATGCTTTCTTGGCCGTACACAATTCCTTATGTGTCAGCATCGGCAAACATTTCTTCGAAATTTGGTGTATGGTCAACAGTATCAACGAATTGTTGTCTGAACAGTTCGCGATATTCCACGGCTTGGTTAGTAACCCTGCATAATTGAGCTTCCGTGTCATGAAGTCGTTGTTCAGTTATTCTCAGATGCTTTAATAGTTCGTGCTCTAATGATGTCGTAGGATTAAATTCTAAAAAATTCGTATACGCTTATACCGTTATGTAGGTCTAGCAACCATGCAAATTGGATAGCTATTGGGGCTTTGTTTACCTTTTAAATTGATCGTGTAGTTGTCTTCGCCCTGATCATCATCAGACAAGTCATCGCTTTCTGTATTGTCAAATACTGAACCAGGTTTATTGAAAATTATCAGTTAGCGATATTACGAGAGCAGAATAACATTCGCCGCTCTTACCATATAATAATGGGTCATCCTCTAATGTTAGTTGATTCGCTAATTGAAAAGGACCTGCAATGTGGCCTTATACAAGATCGTGAAAGTAAATATCACATACATTGTACGTTATATTGAACGTTGCTTTTCTCTTGTTGGCTTCCGTTCCGACATTAA